AAAAGAAAAACCTGGTTCAGGTTGAGTTAAACTTTCCACTGAACTAAAACTCTGAAACCTAGGAATGAATGATTACTTCAGAATGTGCATAAGGAAACTTTTGATTTGTCAATGTTGGTGATGTCTTATTTTTATTGCTGCAATGTTGAAAATGTTCATGTTTGTTAAAATAAATATGCTCTTATACTCATTAATATCTCAACTGGTAATTTTGGTAGGAATGTATCAGGGTTGGGCAGTGTGCTTGTCTGTATTTGTGTATGGAAGGAGGGGCATATGCGGTAGTGGGCCAGTGCCCCTGTAAAGCTTGGTGCCTAGCAACTCGCCTGCTTTCAGAGTTGGTTTTATAAGGAATGTCCTTTTGATGCATCAAGGATTTAAGTCAAGGTCCCCAAAAGTAAAGGTTCTGACTCATATTCTACACCATGGTTAATATGTTTTAAATCTACAGATTGCCTGAGCTGTTGGGGAAATTATTTGGGACTATAACAGTGGAAATTCTCACAGTGTACATCAGATTGTCCTTGAATGAAGAATGCTGTGTATTATCTTGATTAGATTGTAGCCAGGGATGTCTCATCATTTACAAACAATATGTCTAATGCAAGAAGTGCTTCTACTAACAAATTTGTTCCTGAATTTGTAGCCTTGAATGGAATTATTGGGTCAGTAATTATGTAGATTTGTATTAAATTCTGCTGGGAATCTGAGGTGCAAAGCCATGTTGAGAGTACAGAAACCTCTGGTGCACCCATGCTGCAAACAGCCAGATCTGACCATAAATCTCACAAACCATGTTGGTTATGCAACTTTAACAAAACAGCCTCTATTATGTAGCTTCTTTTATTACCTAAGGTAACATCAAACCCAAGTATTTCAAAAGTCGCTGCTTTGCTATGTGACACCTTCTGTTTTGAAACTATGAACTGTAAATTGATCTCATCATCATTCTTTTGTCATTGGCTTTTCTGGAAGCTGAACAAATGCATTTCTCTCAAAATATTCCCACCCATCTATGCAAACTTTAAATATGAAGAGCAACACAAGACTTTTGTAATGCGTGCCTTGCAGCCTTAAAGCATGTTATCAGTTTCTATGAGTTGTGAAAAATTTTATTAGATATTGTCTCAATCTTTTACTCATGGATCAAAGGCTAATCCTGCTCCGGCTCACAGGTTTGTGTCTTTTGTTTCCTCAGTCTAGTTTCTTACAATTTTTTACCTCTTATTTTATAACAGCTAAGACTAGAACCAACATTTGCCTACAATAGGTAACTGAGACTATGAGGTAAAAGTAGAAAAAAGTAAGTAAAGATATATGTTTGAAATTATTTGGTGCAATCTGAATATATGAATAGTGCTTTTACTGCAGAGAGAAAGTTCTTTGTTCAAATCCAAGCAGAGACCTGCCTACAGGTTCAAATTTTTATATTTTGCTTTTCATTTCCTGTTAGACTTGAAGTCATTACCAGACATGAACATTGTGCAAAAAAATACATTGTGGGCTTTTTCACTCTCTAACATTAAATCTAAATATTAGGTCCAATAAGGATTGTGATGTTTCAAGTAATAGGTTCCTTAGCTAAAACAGTTTTTAGCCAGAGTTGGCTAGGGACTTGAACAATTTTAACATTTTAACAATATGTAAACTTTCAACAATAAGACTATGTAGTTTGATGAGTGTATACAAGGGTCAATTACATTTTAAACAGTTGTAAATCTAGTTTAAGTGAACTTTAGCATGCCATTGTCAACTTTTGTCATATTAAAAATAATTTTCTAAAAACAAAGTTGTACCAAGAGAAAATGTCAAGTGGCTAGTAACTTTAGAAAATGACTAGCAACAGTAGCCAGTGAACAAAAAAGCTAATTTCAAGCCATAATTATTGATCATCAAACCTCTGCAGAGCACAATGATGTGATGTGGAGACCATTCGGCCCTTTTGAGTGTATTAAAGCCAAAAAAAAATCCTTGGAAGACTGGAAGTGATATACATTATGTAAAGGATTTCTTTGTGCTTCCTGCTTTTTTACAAAAGTTTATTAAAAGAACAACCTTTAAGCTAAACGACTAATAGAAATTTTACCAAGACAAATTCTAGTAAAGTTTCAGGAATGAAACAAATTGTAAACCTATATGTCCACATTGGCAGTTACTCTCACTGTGCAAGACTTATATCTGCAGTTCTTATTATTAGATAAATCCACTGCTGTAATACTTTCCTTTTTTTTGCTGGCCTTATTAGCAGAAAAAA